GGGACAGCCAAACACCCTCGCTCCACCCCACCACTCAGGGACTGTGCAAATGGTGAATGAATGAATCTTCCCGCTAGAACATGGAAGTATACACCCCCAGAGTTTTTGTCTTTTGTGCATGTGTTGAGTAGTGGAGCCAGGCCCTAAGGTAAGGTTCAGGGCATCCCTCACCATTCTCGAAATTTGCAAAATGGGAATGAACTACCCGCTAGAACATGGCCAGATGCACCCGCCACATTTTTTGTCTTTTTGTTTCGAGAGTGGTGTGGCGAGGCCCAGAGTCCACGGCGGTGGTCGATCTATGGTGGTGGAGGCGGGAGGAGTGAGAAAAGTGCCACCACAAAAACAGAAAAAAAAGAAAAAAGAAAAGTGCCACCAGCTCCAGCGGCCTAGCTCAGCTGGTAAGGCACACAAGTAGCATTCAGGAGGTCCTGGGTTCAATCCCCATGTGCCTCATGTACCTTTGGCGCCGGCCACCTAGAGATATGCCGGTGGTCCCCCCGAGTGGCATTGAGCAGAGACTGCTGACGTTCATAGTGGCATGAGACCGGAGGGGAGGCACAGTGACTGGCCCATCGAATCATCGGTCCTGATGCTACCGGCTGACCTGGCCGGTATCGCCCACCTGCTGTAGGTATCGCACCTGCTGGTGGGTGCAGCTCGTTGGAGGCTTGAGCACGGATGTGGCTGCTACGGGGTTCCCCGTAATACTATAATGACAATGAAAAAAAAAAGGCCTGAAAGGCCGTCCTGTCCAGATTTGACAGGTAATTGAAGAATTAGCCTGTCACCTCGCCTGTCCTGCTCCTCGCTCACGATTGGCTGCGTTCTGCGCGGTACACAGTTTGTTATTGTTACGGTGTAGTCCCTCGTGGACATACGTTAAAATGGAAACGATACTGAGAGGACTAGCATGGCCCCTGCGCAAGGATGACACGTATTGTTACGGTATATATATATATATATCGAAGCAAGGGCAGAGGCACCCTACCGTTAGACGGGTTTGACAGGGAGACAGAACGGCGAACTGTAGGCGATGGAATTTGGACGCCAGTAGTGGAAACCACCTACCGTAGGTGTGCGTCGGCATGTTTGCCAGGGTAATCCAGGCGATCGTACCTTTTTGTTTCGCTGAGACGAGCGGCGTCCTGAATTGTTTCCCTTGCTTCCGGTTTCGGTATTCTCTACCGTCTTCACCCGAATAGAACGCCCGGTCATCATCGCAGTATGTGGACAGAAAGTGGGCCAAATACAGCTATAATGACCAGGTGTTCTATTCGGGTGAACACGGTAGTGAGAGGCGAAAGAATAGTGCGCCATAGGAGCTGAACACGCAGCCGATTCAAGGGGTAGGTTAGGGATAGTCTCTGGGAGGAAAAGTGGTAGCTTTGCCCTCCGTTCCTGTTCTGTTCTCATTTCTGGTGAGTTTATCGAAGCACTGCTCACCACATGCGCAAATGCGGATGAATCTTCCGCTAGAACATACAAAGATGCACCGCCGTAATTTTTGTCTTTTGCTTTTGTTGAGTAATGCGGCGAGGCCCATGCTCCCACTAATGTTATTCCTGACTGCGATGACGCCCGCCTCAAATGCCATTTGAACCGAAATGGAAACATTAGAAAGGGGAAGAAAAAAAAAAACACGCAGTCGAATTTTTGTTTTCGTTTTTTGCTTCTTTTCCGATCTTTTTCTCCTCCCCCCCCCCCCTCTTCCCCCCCCGCCGGTTTCTGTTTTCGAGATGGCAGTCTTTGCCACGCAGGCACACCCCCCGCCCCGCATTTGCAGCTTACGTAGTCATAATAGGTTGCAGAGTTTGCTCTCAGTGAGGGCGCCAAGAATGAGGGGCGGGTAATACGGGCGGCTGAATGGCGGGCAACATAGATTTCATCGGTATTGTCACCGCAGGAGAGAAAGAAGATTCGTGCCCGCGTTATAGGGCAGGGCAAGTTTTTATTTTTTGGTATTCAATTTGGCAAGTGCCTGTAGCTCCTGCCGCATACATCGAAGCGAAAAATGCGCGGGTATGATATCGATGTATATGTATCCCCTCTCCTGTCCCATCCTGTTAGACGAAGAATGCCGGGATCGCCCGTCGGTACTGTTCCCTGTCCTGTAAGGCGAGTCTGAACGGGAGCTCCAGCGAAGCTCAGCGGACGCTAGAATGGTCGTCGACAAGTAGCCGCCCAATATTGAGATGTCGAGGAGGTGCTGGGTGTCAGGTCGATCTGTCCCGCCGAGGATAATTTTGCAACAGCAGTTTCGTCTTCTTATTCTGAGCGGCTTTACGGCGTAGTTAGAGCGGTACAGCGTTTTATGGCCGTTGGCTTATTTATCGTCCGTACTGGTAGGAGTAGCGGGCCTGCCGGACCAGGCGTGATGGTGGGGGCCCACTACATTCAAGTTCAAGCAAGTCCAACGCCCAGTCTCTGGCGGGAGAGCTGTCGCGAAGTCGATCCCTCTGTCTCCAGTGTCTCCTCGCCGTCGTTCTTGGGCTTGCTTGTGCATCTTTGGCGATGACCAACGTCTCTGCTGCTCTCATGGTGTGGTTTCACCGACTGGGCGACCACCTGACACCGACCGCTTGAGCGAGCAGCGATTGAGGTAAGTCCTCCCTTGCGATTCACTCAAGCTGTTTGTCTGTTCTTCTCTTCTTCCACCCTCTCCCTCCCCCTCGGGCTCCCCCTTCCCCCTTTTCTCTCTCTCGCTCACCACCATGGACCACTTCTTTTTCTCTCTGTGTATCTAATTGCAACGCCTAATAGGCGTCCTCGTGCGCTCATCTCGCCCGCCTCCATACCCTCGCTTCTCCCCTTTCCTCCTCCAGAAATTCTTTCCGGCGTCTTCTTTGCTCTTCCCCTTTACCTTTCTTGAAGTTTCTTCATCGTCAGCACTTCCTTCGGCTATGCGCCCTCGACCCCCTCGGAAATCTCCCGCTTTACGGCAGAACCGATCGCCGCTGCGTATAGCCGTCCGGGGGTGCGGGAATCTCCTAGTAAAAGGAGACGTGTGACTGCATGCGATTGTCAGAGGGTGTAAGGTAGACGCAGAACAGGCTGGGGGACGCCCGCGACGTCGGCCTGTTGTCGTTAACATCTTCCGTTGTGTTCTGTCCTTCGACTGTCTGCTTCATTATACCCTTCTCCATTTGCCCGGCTATTCCTTTCGTTGCATTTGGAAATGGCGAACTTCAGTGTGAAATGGGCTTGCCGTGCCCGTCACGGAGGACATCCTCCGTTGTTCTCTGCTTGGGCGAAAACGGCCGAACTCGTCCACAGTCGAAAGAGGGGGAAAGCGCATTTTTGCGCAGGCGCACACACACACACACACACAC